TGGTTTGTCTTAATAAATTATATAAACATAACACTAAGAACTATTGGTGTGTCACTTTGCCTGCCAGATGATGTAAGGCAATAAACAATATCAGGGAAATGAAAAAAACAACTTTATTTTAACAATAATTTTGGAAAAGGAATGAATCCCAATTCCTTTTCTCACAAATTTGACTGATTGCAAATTGTACTTTTACAGAATCTATAAATGTAAAATATTCCACATCAGGTTTGATTGATTTTGGGTATTTCAAACTAGACATGATAAAGTGCAGTCTGGACAAATATAAAAACTGAGAAATAGCACTTTAGTCTATGAAGCAGATGGTAGCTTTAGCATCACTAGCAGTAACAATTAGAAACAGACTTAGAATGAATTAATTAGCTTATTATTTAGAATATTCCTACTTAACGATAAAACTGTTGGTATCTTGTTTGTCAGTTTCTGTAAACGCATTGACAAAGAAGTTTAATAAAAACAAACCATTATCCTCCCGAAACCGATATCAGCTAATATTCACTTCTAATGATTATTCAGTTCTTTGGAACTTCCAAAGCAAAATCTATCCTTAAGTATAACCCACCCTGATGTAAAAGTGTAACCCTGCACCCAGACAAATTTAGGTAAAATGCCAAAAGTCTCTAAGAACCAAGGCTAAGAGGGGATGAGTGGTGAAGAGGAGATGTGCTCAGAGGAAAAAAGTTGCAGCTAGATTAATATGACATATTGAGCTGTGAGAGTGAGCAGATAGATATAGTAGTTATACCAGGCCAGCTCCACCTCCAGAGATAGATCTTTGATAGTGGACGATTTTTCAGTCCTCTAATCATCAGAGGGTGACAGAGGCTTTTTAAGACTGCAGAATCAAAGTTTAGAGTGGGACCGGTGGCATAGTGGTTAGGGCATCGAGCATGGAATCCTGAGGTTCTAAGCTTGAGGCCCAGTCCCACAGACTGCCACTCTGGGTCCCGGAGCAAAGACCCTTAACCCTCACAATGCTCCCGGAAGCCGCACAACACTGCTCCGCAAGAGGTAGGGTTAAATGCAGAAAGTTCATTTCTTTGCACTGTACTTGTGACACTGTAATGACAATAAAATGCTAGAAAAAATAAAATAAAAGCCGACTATAGGCCCAGTTAATATGCTTTTCTGAAAAGAAAGTTGAATTTGGGATGAATTACAGTTTCAGGGTTGTTAGCAGTCAACTGTTTTACAACCCATCATATTCTCAAGGTACTAAAAATTGTTAATATCTCTTAATCTCGAGGTCTTCAACAGGGGGCTGCAACCCCTAGGGTGTCCACAGAGGTACTGTATGGGGGTCGTGAAAGTTCTGGTTAATTACTTTCATTTTTATTCTCCCTAAAAAAATTTTTTCACTAATTGAAATGTCTTTAAATACATATTAAGATTAATTCTACACACTGTAGTAAACAGATAAATTGAGGCAGAAGATGTCTTTCAGTCATCAATGCTCACATTCAGTGACACACAGGAGCTCTTTCAAGCTGGGCACTGTTTCATTCACAACAACTGTCCCATTAACGAGGAATCAGAACCAGAAATACTTTAATAATCCCAGGGTGAAATTACTTCCCTTACATAAAACCATCTGTAACAGAGTGACTATAGGACCAGTTTGATATAACACAATTTCATACAATATATATAATTAGGGGGTCCCCTCTCCATCTCGCCATCAGTTTGGGGATCCTTGGCCTGGAAAACGTTGAAGGCCCCTGTCTTGAACTGTTGGTGTTCCTTTTTATCTTAAAGTCATCTTTTATTTTAGAGGGTTTTCAATTCTAAGATCCTAAAGTTGAAATGTTTTTCCACTTTATTCAAATGTACCATCAGTTAAAGTATGCCTTACAGTATATTTCACTGCATTCACATTTATCATTTTCCTTTTAAAGCAGCATTTTAAAAGTTTACTCAAATTTGCATGATGATTGGATTTGAAGATCTGAAATGTTGGACAATGTCTTCGACCCACTGTCTGATACCAAGCTGGATCCTAACCCTTCTTCAGCATCATACTGCTTGATCCTAGTCCATGCTACTATTATGCAGCCAGGATATAGCCATAGCAGCTTCAAGAACTGGACACTGAGTTTTATTTATATTTAGGACTCCTGTTCTACAGTGCCAAATAAGGTAGAGGTTGAAAAAAATCCCACTATAGGCCCAGTAATAGTAACGCTTATCTGGAAAGAAACCTATGCTTGCATTTAGATTTTACTTTGCTTCCAGCAGGTATGATCGTCCCTATTCTCGGACAATTAAGAACATCTCTGTTATTATATATTCTAATAACTTCTTTTAAATTTAAAATCGAAATTAAGTTTAAGTTCTTTTAAATATCACCGAGTCATTCATGGTCAAACATTAGCACTTCTAATAATAAGCTGTTTATATTAGAACATGTCAATTAAATGAAATATAATGAGTCCTCACAAATGTTGAAGAATGTTGCTTAAAAATTAAGTGTTGAACTCAAATAAAAAAAATTAGAACTCAACCTCTACTTCATTCGGCACTCTAGAACATGAGTCCAAAATATAAAAAAAAAACGTAGTGTCCAGTTAAAAAAAAGACGTCCTCTTTATTAAAGCTGTTATTAGCTCCCTAATAGAAGCTTAGACTTTCTTAAACACATTAATTTATATACTTAAAGCCACTCTTTTTCACTATTAAAGGCAGACCTTTGAGGAGAGAAATATTTTTGTTTTTCAATGTTGTATGAGTATGGGTCACCAAATCTCCCTATTAGGCCCATGCTAAAGCAACCACACCACTCCAGAGAAGGGAATCTATTTAAAAATTTCCTTTTCTCATATTTATGAATATATCAAAACTGTCTTATCAAGTTTTTTTCATGTCACTGAGACATCTTCTATGTTTTTCAGTCTTTTTAAATAAAAGCAACAGTCACACCAAGTATATTTAACTGCATTTAAGGTGGTAGATGGAAATTATAAGAGTCACGCTGATATGCAGTGATAATCGGCTTATTGCCATTAGGAAAAAAAAAAAAAAAATACAGCAAAAAAAAAAAATGAAATGACATTAGATGTGTGAGAACATCTTGACCGCTTTGAATACGGCGGCAGTGTTTCATTTCTCCCATGGATTTAAATTGGTGATGATAGTCCCCTGCTGTTCTGGGCTCCTCCATTATCTATTGGAAAGATAATGGTAATTGCTTAATACGGTGTGAATATGTAGTAAATGGTTGTTACAGACATAAAGGGAACGTCTGCTCCTAAAAGGTGTGATGAGCTTGGGGACGTGTTTACGTACAGTAGAAAGCTGCAGGTTGTTTCTCGGAAGAACAGTCTTTTTTTTTAAATAAACTAGGGCTTCCAGCCTGGGATGATTTAGACTTTTTTAGTTGAAGTTATTGCAATCAGATAGGACTTCTGCAGATTTACTTAGTCAATATCCAGCTTCATTCATTTATTAGATTTAGTTGTATTGCTCCATTTCCTTCCAAAGCTATAGTTAAGGTCAGTAGCATCTCACAGCACAATATTTCTAGAATAGAATTCAACTTTATTGTCATTATATTGTCACAAGTACAAAGAAACAAAATTCACTGTCTGCATTTAAACCATCCCCTTGGGGAGCAGTGGGCTGCCATTGTGCGGCACTCTGGGAGCAGTGTGGGGTTAAGGGCTTTACTCAGGAACCCAGAGTGGAGGCTGTGGGGATCAAACCGGCTACTTGCAACCGTCTTAGAGCACAATCGCACTGCTCTAACCACTAGGGTACATTTAGTTATGGGATAAAATATTTTCATAATACATGAGTAAATAATTGTCTAATTTCCCTGTTTGATACTATCCCTGGTACCCTTAAAATTACATTAGGTTGGTCCACAAAGGTATATAGCCAATTTAGGTGTCATCCAATTTGTTTTGTCATACTAGTCATACCAAAAATTATGATCTTTGAAATGGGATATATAGTCCAAGGATTTCAGAACCCTCATTCCTTTTTTTTTTTCAATTTTACATCTGTAATGCATCTTTAAAGACAATGACATTCTAGCACTATTTCGCTCTGTAACCCTAAACATATAAAAGACAGTTTCAGAGTTATAACAGGCTTTGTTATAGTTACTCACTCATGATCTCAGGAATGCATTATTTCAAGCCAACTTTGCTTTTAATCAATAAGAGCATCATTTCAATAATAAGTTAGGAACTTTGGGTACCTTATAATGCAATTCACAGATGTAGAATAACCCAAATGCATCACATAAAAAGCATAGCCACCTCCAAAATGGTATACCCAAACTGAATAAAAATAAGGTGAGCAGCAATGCAAATATGAAGAAATGCACTGCAGCAGTTATCAGCCTTTAAGGAGCCCCCAATGACACTTGGTATTAAAATATCAAATTGCCCCTTCCTCAAACTAAAATGATTTTGTGTGTGATTATCCGCCATTTCCCCTCCGTTAACCCTTCCTAAAAAAAAAAAAAAATGTGCTAATTGGTCACGGGGATTTGTTGGAGACTGGTAGTTCACATATCTGACTTCTAAATGAGTTTCAGGACACGCAGCTGTCACTGACATGGAGGTTTTTAGAAGAAAGAAGGCGGGGCAACTGCTGGTGCGGGCTCAAATTGAAATGATGCTCTGTTCTCCCTCACTGCGGCTCCAGCTCACAGTAATTAAATGCCTCATTGTTGCTCCATGGGAATTTGTATTGAATGTTTCATTCAGCGTAATGATTATTTGGGTGTGGGTGGGACGTGCATGTAATCACCTTGGTTGGCTCTTTGATGAGACACTTTGTTTAGTGGTAAGGCTTCAAGTGCCTTCAGGGTTCTTATTCTCTTCAGGTTCTTTCTAATGGTTTTTATAATAAAAGCAACTTGCTATTGTGTTAAGAAATTTTGAAGATGTGTATTTTCCTTTTTTGGTCTTAACTTGAAGACCAAAAAAAGTCTATGAATTAAAGCCTCTTTCTCCACATTTTGTCTTCCGCAGAGAACGCCGGTCAGCAACGGTGAGGCTTTTCGGTGGTTTTTTTAGGAGGCGAGATGTGGACCTCCATCAAAAAGCAAGAGGACAGGTGGGACTCTAGACTCTGCCAGGAGCTTTTCATGGACACACGATGCGCCATGCGGCCTGAACATTTTTTGGAGAAGATGCAAGGAGACAAAGTGAACAGACACAAACATAATGGTGTTGTTTTAACTCTGTAATTTCCTTTTTTTTTCTTGTGTAATTATTGTACCTTTTGACGGTATCATTATGTATATTTTTGGTGTCTATGAATGTGTTTTCAGTGTCAAGGCTGTAGGTTTTACAGCCCGCCCTGTGTAAAGAACTCAAACAGACAATCATACAATCACACTGAATCTGATAAAAAGAAGAGGCCACAAGGATCGATTATTGAACAAACACCTGTCCCGCTGGAGCAATAACTAATTCTGATGATTATTCCTCATATTCACACTTCAGTAATATTTTACATTTCCCCAAACTAAGTACCACTCTAGTTTTTTTTTTATTTACACTCTAAAAACTGCTGGGTTAAAAAAAAAGTTTAAATAATATTTAAAATATTTAAAATTACCCATATTATGGGTAATTTTGCAAAGTTTTTTCAGTCCTGATATAAAATGGACCGATCTAGTCTTGGGTTGATCAAACAGAGCAAGGTTGGTTAATTGGTTTTACCCAGGATAATGGCTCAAGGTTTTAACCCCAAAAAATTGGTAAAATAAAGAAAAATCTATTGTATTGTCCTAAACCATAACCTAGATTTTTAGAAAAGGAATGTGTAGGTCAATGAGTGATATTTATTTCTGTTTTAGTTTGGATTAAAGTGATCAAAATAAAACACAAAACAACGTACCTACACAAAAAACTATTTGGATATGAAAATTCATGTTCTATGAAGAAAAAATGATTCACTCTTTGCATATTTAGATCCAAAACTATTTTTCAAACGTCTAGGTTTGTGTTGAATTGGAAATAATAAAAAAAAGTTATGTCTCAGTTCTTAAATAATGTTAAAAACATTATTCACACTTTATGTAAAAACACTTGTCTTAAATTGGAAATACCGTTTAGGAAAAACTTGAAAAATGCTGAAACAAAACTGTGTTACATCTTTTAGTTACCAACATATCTGATTGTATCTTTAATGATTTACTTCTGTATCTAATATAACTCAAGTTTTTCAAGTTATTAGACCTCCTTGAAATCACCCTAATCTTTAGCTTCCTTCACCCTTTTTAGTTAGATTTAAAGAAGGAAATCTGCCTCAGCAAAACTTTTGTTTTAATTTAAAAGAAATATCTTTAGAAGAAAACCCAAAACCGGTACACTTGTTTTCTTAACATTTTCCACCCATTTGAATACTTTTGGTTCTATCTTTATATCTGTTAGGAAAACAAGCTTGACCTTCCATTTGAGTAAAATGGTTAAGAAATCACAGCAACCTATCCACATTAATATATTTTTTTTAGCGTAATGTTATTTCTTGTTTCAACCCTTTGATTAGGTTTAATCTGTGGTGGTCATTTTGTTATAGAGGTGGTCAGTTAAGAATTTGAAGACATCTTCTCATACCTTCTAAATAACAACATCAGGTTCTTTTAGAATGACATCCTTGAGTATACAATGCCTCTGACTGACTGTTTAATATATTCACACAAAATTATAGGATTTTTTCAGGATTGGTGTAACCAAAATACTAATGAGATTTTTTTTTTTATTTCCAATTTAGTTTATTTTTCTTAATGATCAGATTCTTTTTCCAAACAGCTGAATTTGTCTTAGTTGTCAACAAAGGAAAATGGAGCAGGCTAGGGAAGGCAGCCCTGCATCACACTACAATCTGTACCAAAACATATGATCCCTCTGGCACTTCATTTGGCATCTTAGGTAATATAAATAAAATTCTGACAAGTATCTACACAATTGTTTAAAAAATATTTATACACTGGTTTTACGACCATACGTTTTGTTGCCAGCGCAACCAGTTTTGTGCTGCAGTGTCTGATCCGCTGTCCCAACCTTTGTCGCAACAGTAGCATCGAGACATTTAAGAAAGAACCCAGCGTTTTTATTTTTTATTTTTTTTGTGAGAAATGGTAAAACAGTTGACAGTGGTGTGATGATGGCAGCAGGAACAGGACTGAAGGAGTCTGTGTTGACACGCTCCATAACAACAAGGCACATTGTCTTACATTAGAGAGCTGCACTTCTAATCTATATTACCTGCACCTAATGCCTAAACACTGACTGGACTTCCTACTGTCATAAATGATTCAACCTTTACAAAAATTAATCGGTCATTATCTATTTTTATAACCACTTTTTTGGGGGGGTCACTGAAGGTTGTGAAAAAAGCTTGGATAAATCCCAGTAAAGCATTTTAAACTACCGGTATGTTGGAAAATCTGGAATTAAATATTGAACAGTAGAGAGATTTTGCTCTGACGCTAAAGGATAGTCTGGATTTCTCCTTAGCAGAGTAAAACATCTGTCCTTTTTACTGCAAAGTGGCTTTAAAACATTCCAAAAAGCAAATTATTTAATAAGTTACTCATTGTCTTAAACCCAAATGTTGCATGTGTTAATGTGTTTTGGTTTTAAAGATGACTAAGAATTTGTATATTGTTGTTGTGATGCTTTTATGTGTTAAAATAAAAAAAAAAACTGCTTCAGTAAAACAAATGTTTTTTTTTGGACAGAAAATATTTGATCCACAGAAACACAAGGCAAATGTAATAGATGAGAAGAACAATTATCAAAGATCATTGAAAGGGGAGGCTGGAACAAAGTGCTGCTGGAAAGTATCCCCAACAATCAAAAGCAGACAGTAGAACAGCGTTGCTTGCCTCCCTAGTCACGTATTCCCTCGAATACTAAAATGTTGCATGAAGACGAGCAGTTCCCAGAGGCAGGAGACTTTAAAGGACTTGTGAAATCCCGAGTGGTTTGTCATGCTGGAATACTCTGGGGTGAGGCTGGGGTGGGGGGGTTGTTGGAATGGAGGGACGCCAGGAAGCAAAGAGGGTGGTGGTTGGTGAGGTGGGAGGGTGAAGCAAGACAGGCTCCTGAGATAAGGTGAGCAACTGAGTGATGGCTGGGTGTTCGAGTATCAGGGGAAATGAGGGGGTGTAATAATGCAGGGGGGTGGGGGTGCAGTTGGGGGGAAAGGGAGGACAGAAGCACATTTGGACGATGGCTGAGGTGGGGAGGGGTGGCAGCGCCAACGGAGAGGCGAGTGGAGAAGGAGGAAATCATCCGGGACTGACTTCTCCCCTGACTGAACACGCTTGCCATCAGCCAAATTGAGCTGCTGACTGGTTAGAGCCGGACAGGAAGACAGCTCAAAGTGCTCTGCAGCGGCGATGCTTGGCTGCGATGAAGCATCTGAGGCACCCAATCTTCCTGGCTGGTCATCAGAGGCTGATAATGTGCATCAGGAGTGCTCTGTCTGGCTCGCTCCCTGGCCTCTGAGATTAAATAACATCAGAGACAGCTCCTCTCTAATCCTTCCCTCACCTCCCACTCCTCGCTCTGAAACCTAGGATTTTTTTTTTAAGTCCTTGGGCCCCAGAGGTAATGTTCGGTTTCTTGGTTTGACAAGGTGGAGAGGTGGAGACTAAAAGGGTAGAAGTGACTTGGTGTTGTGGTAAGACTACATGTTTCTGTGCATATGTAATTATTTACCTCAACCATATTTATGCATTGGATGTTTCCTACATTAATACATACAGAATGTCCTGAAAATCATTTTAAGATTTCTTAGATCAGTCCTTTGATATTTTAAACAAATATAAAACAGAAAATATTCTTGCAGCTGTTTTAAAGCTCAGTGAATCACAAATTTATGGGTACCTCTTCACATTTTGTTTCATCACAACCAAAAATCTAGCAGTGTGCAGTTGTAAAAAAATTTCTAATGACCCTACAGATATTGGACTTGAACCAAGTACTAAAAATATGCCATCTACTTGTTCATAAATCTGCTTAATGAAGGCCTCAGAAATCTGATGGACAACATTGAACAAATGGCATCATGAAGACCAAGGACCACAGCAGGCAAGTCAGGGATAAGGTGAAATACTTGCTTGTTGGTGTAGGTTTTATAAAATATCTCAAGATTTAAACATATCATCCATTTAAACATTTCAAACCTGCTCTGACATGATCATTACACTAAACTTAAAAGAATTTTAACAAGCATTCAAGAAGGCCATGACTACTCTGGAGTAGTTGCTCAGCTTGGGTGGGAGTATATGTTGCCATGACAACCATTTCACAATTCTTATATTTATGGTGAAATGACGTAAAACCTCAACTTTGAGAAAAAGTCATAATAGCTCCCTTTCATTGTCCAAGAAATCAGTAAATATAAGGAAGAAAGTAATGTGGTCATTTTGACTTCTTAGCCTCTATGCAAAGTGCTGTGTGCAGTACAAACCAAACAGTGCACATCACCCTGAGCACTGAGCCCAAACAAAATGTAACGAAAGCACAAAGTCTATAGTCTACTGTACTAAACAAAGTAGGTCAAAAATGAGCAAGGACATTAGTCTCCTGAACCCAATAGATATCACCAGGCATTCTAAGCAGTCAATTCATGTTTTATCATTTATGGCTGTTTAAAAGTCTCTTTACAAAAGAAAGGAAATCAATAAATAGACTATGTTATTTCCTTTTCACCTTTTCTCACCATCTAGCTTGTTTTTTGTTAAAGTTGAAGAGAGCATACATCTGTTACTGTATCTCTACATGTACACAAATATGATATAATTGTTTGATAGTTTTTTTTTTATAGATTTACAAGAACTGAAACTGTATAAGAAATGACACTGAGGCTGTCGGTGCAACCAGTCTGCCTTTTCAGATGTTTCCCCAGAAAATAACCAGACCTGGAATAACAGAACAACAAAGGAACATCTCCTAATGCCTTTGCACAAATGGTGGCCCTGCCATAGAAGCCAATGTTTAGCTCTGTGTTCCACAGTATAGACAGTAATATAGAAGTTTTTGTTTGCTTTTTCAGAGGCATAAACAAGAGTAAATAGGAAACTCTATCTGACTGGCTGTTCTCTGCCAAAGATTTGTTGACTTCTCCGCAAACATATTGTGCCTCCTGCAAGTAAAGAATCTATTAGTGATAACTTCACAGAACTCCACTTTCAACTTCTTAATGTGTCCACTTTAGGACTTGTACTATTAATGATACTTCTATTTGCCTGTGGATAGATTAAACCCTACAGTATGAGTTTAAGTTGATTTTAAGGGTGTTATTTATTCAATTCAATTCAGTTTGTTTATATAGTGCCAATTCACCACATGTCATCTTTTCTGAGACAATTCAACCTGATCATACAGTGAAATTGGTTTAAAGTTTTCTATCTAAGGAAAACCAGTTGATTGCATCAAATCATTGACTCGAAGGCAATCCCTGACATCAAGCATGCTTGTGGTGACAGTGGAGAGGAAAACTCCCTTTTAACAGGAGGAGACCTCCAGCAGAACCAGGCTCAGTGTGAGCGGCCATCTGCCGAGGCCGACTGGGGTCCAAGGAGACTGAAGCAGAGATACAAAAAGAAGCAGAGATACAAAAGGCAACTTTCAATCAGTTCCACACAAATCCCTGTCCAGGAAACACACAGCCAGGCAGATGAACTCTGAGCCAGCTCCCATGTCAGAGGATGAAGAGAGGTACATACAGTTTGTCACAGTCAGAGAAACAGGACTACACTGAAAAACAGGCCAAGGTCCAGCATCAACAAACAAAGGCGTTGATGGCAGCAGCACAGCTGATTTTCTCTCCAGGATGGTATCACAGCCAAACAGGAACAGACCAGATTAAGCTACTGTGATAAGGAAAAAGCAGAGAGAGAATAATGATAGATCTTGAGCTAACAATAGTTCAATAGTTTAACAATACTTCTTCTAAATAGCTTAATGACCCACATGGAGAACTGAACTCCAAAATTCCAAAGTAAAGGATTGTATTAGAGAAATTAAAAAAAAAAAAAGGTGCAACAATGAAGGCCTTGCAAAGCGAGCTAAGCAAGGTTCAGTTAGATAACAGCAATAGTAGGAAAAGGATGGGTTTCTAAATTAAGAGTGTAAAGTGCTTTCTGTGTTGTAGTAGAAGGATGATTTAAGAGGTGTTGCTAGAAGTGTGAACAAAATAAATGCTCTTGCAGGAGTTCCAGACCAGGTCTAATGTGAATGTTTGAGATCTGAACAGAGTTGGTACAGGTTGATTCATAAAGGGTCAGGCAGGTGTCTGCTAAGGACACTGAAGCTGCAATGCACATTCTTCAAAAGGTTTCCAGAGACATCTGTCCAGGAAAGTAGCTGCTTAGTCTAGCTATGGAAGTAGGCAAAAGAGGTTCAACCTGGGAGACACAGAGGACACGTCAACTTAGCTTGAGGAACGTAAGGGAACGAACATAAATCAATCTCTGAAAAAAAAAAAAAAACTCTCAGGGAAACACAATTTGGCTTAACTCTACCAAACACGTTCAACATCAGGTGGAGAGGGGTTGTCCAGTGGCACCTTAAATCTCCAGCAGGCAAATGAAAAAATGGCAGACAGGTGTGTGATCTGCAGTCGGTGCTTACACCCTCCAGCGAACTTCACATAACTCACTCGATCATGCGTAGACTAGGATCATGACAAAAGGGCAGAAAGACTCTCCCAAAAATGTATATGTTAATGAAAACGTTTGTCAAATGTTTCGAATTTCTTTTGAAAAAAAGGGGCACAGGTAAAATAAAGCAATCAACTTCAAATGTAAAGGAGACAAACCATTCTCTCATTGATTTAAAAGATCTTAGGTACATGGGAAAAAAAATAAAATAAAAATATATATATATATATATATATAAAGGCAACTTTACCTTTTACTAATAAAGAGTTAAGACAAAGTTAGACAAGCATGTTAAAGGTAAAGGTTACTGTATATGACCGTTCCTCTAGTGGCTTAATGTTCCTGTAGCTACAGAGCACATATTATTTGAAATCTATGATCCAGTAGGGCAGTGGGTAGCACTGCTGCCTTGCAGTAAGAAGGTTCCAGGTTCAATTCCTGGTTCAATTTTTTCTGCATGGAGTTTGCATGTTCTCCCTGTGCATGCGTGGGTACTCTGGCTTCCTCCCACCGACTGAAAACATGATTGTTAGGTTAATTGGCTTCTCTAAATTCTCCTTAGGTCTGAGTCTGTGTGAACATAGTTGTTTGTCTCTGTGTTGCCCTGTGATGGAATGGCGACCTATCTACGGTTTTTGCCAGCACCCTCATGACCCCACTTGGAATAAGTCTGATGGAAAATGGATGGATATTCTATTTCCTTATTGCTCTGGCTTTATGTTCATTTTCCTGCTTGAAGGCGAGCCTGTACCACAGACTCAGTTTAGTTTCTAGCTATAATACGGTTTCTTCCTGGTTTACACTATTTTTAACATCATCTTCCTGTCAGCAGTGACCAGCTTGGATTCCTATATTTAATGAAGCATCCCACAGAATGATTAACCCACCCTCATGTTTCATTGTGGGGATTCTCAGTGAGGATGCATGATACTGCACAATCTATGCTTTACTTTATTTTAAACAGATAAATAAGATGTTAGATATGTAGAACTAGAAAGTTGGGGTTAGGCTGCAGGAAATATTTATATAG